TAGCTCTCACATGTTTACCTTTTATTTTGCTACTTGAAGCTATCATTTATTTATTGCTTTGCATTTAGCCATCTTTTTTTTGTTTTAGCTATTTTAGCTAGCTTGTTAGCTAGTTTTTAATCTTTAGGTAATATTTCATAACCCAAAGCTCTCACTATGTTTAGCTATTTCACTACTTGTAGCTATCATTTTGCTACATTTAGCCATTCGTTTTAGCAATTTTAGCTAGTTTTTTATGTTTATGTAATATTTTATGACTGATACCTCTCACTTTAACTATTTTGCTACTTGTAGCTATCATTTTGCTAATTATACCTATTGTTTTGCTACATTTAGCCATCATTTAGCATTTTTAGCTATTTTATATTCAACGTTTTATGACTTACAGCTCTCATTTAGCTATTATTTTTCTATTTGTAGCTATCATTTTGCTAATTGTAACTATTGTTTTGCTACACTTAGCCATCTTTATAGCTAGTTTTTTACTTTTAGCTAACAGTTTATGACTTACCGGTAACTTTCATTTTGCCCTGTTTGGCTGTAGTTTTAGCTTTTGTATTATAACTTGAAGTTAGTTATCAAATTGTGACGTCTGGATTGTTGTTTTGCAACATTTAAGTGTTTTATTAGCTATATTTTTCTACTTGTATGGTTTATAGTTCTCTATGTTTTGCTACTTTTAGATGTACTCATTTTTATTTTTTTAATATAAGTTTGTTGCTTTTTTAGATCCTGTTTTTAGCGTTGTTAGCATGCACGCTAACTTCTCACAGAAAAGGCAGCTTTTAATTTTTTTTTTCCGAGCTCAGAAACCTTGAAGTAAATTAATCCAAAATCAGTATTTTATACATAAATAAAACTAATAATGAAATGGTTCAGCCTCTGGGCCCTGGTAACTTTCTCCCTCATTATGATGAGTTTMATGAGGCACAGCCGGATGTTTGACAGAAAAATATAATAAAAAATACCTTAAATRTTTAAATCCTCGCGCGGTGGGGAACATCTTTCAGCACAAAGAGGGCTTTTGTTGCGTCCTGACGCCCCTCAGTGCCAGAAGGGGTTCTCTGCGGAATCAAAGTGGGCGTGTCACAAGAGTGGGCGTGTCAAAACCATAAACACTGTGGGCTACGAGGCCTACATGACGGTATCCTTAGATCCTGCTTGACCTCTTTACAGCCTGACCCTGACCCCAACACTAAGGTTAACCAGGAGAAATGTGACCTAATAGGGGTCTCCAGAAAAAGTGGTTCCGTACAGTAACGCCCCTTTTGTTCTTGTCCAATCAGGTGGTGCCGTACAKTRAYRCCCCTTTTGTTCTTGTCCAATCAGGTGGTGCCGTACAGTAACGCCCCTTTTGTCCTTGTCTAGTCAGGTGTGTCCCTTTAAAAAAGTCCATCAAATCAGGTGAGTTGCTTTAGAACCGCCTTTTGTTGGGACACGCCCACTCGTCCGCAGAGACTCGTACTAGCTCAGTGCTGCAGCTGATCCAATCACAGCTCAWAGCTCGAGCCGTGTGGGCGGGGCTTATCCCCCCTGCGCCCCCAAACCCCCCTCCATCTCCGCTCCAGTGCCACTCAGGGGACGGGCGACAGACGGAGCGGCGGATCAGTCGGACTCGGACCGGACTCGGGGTCCAGCAGAGGTCGGCTGTTTTCATGATGAGGATGTAAATCACGCGCAGCTTGGCGGAGTGGGAGGGGGTCACGGCGCGGACAGGTGTGAGATCGGGCGCGCGCGGATGAAGGACGAACGAGGTGTTTTAAGATTTTGATTCCCAACGACCCCCCCAGGCCTGATGGATCCAGCCGGAGCGGCTCCACTGGACCACAAAGCCGGTCTGAGTCGCCCCCTCCTCTCCGGGAGCGCCTCCTGACCCAGCACCCCCTCATGAGGGTCTCAGCTCGGTGATTCGGTTCTTCACGGACCCTGGTTGGGTTTTATTCAGGTTCTGTTTGGTTCTAAACCGGATTTCTCGGCGCGCCTGGACTCCTTTGTGTCAGCGGGTTCACCGCAGAGAGGGCGGGGGGGTGGAGGTGGAGGTTCTGGTTCTGGTCCTTGTGGCCGGGTCGTGATGGCAGGGGCCCGGCCGGAGGCGCAGCACGACCACCCGCCGGAGAACGGCTGCGCGGCGCCCCGGCTGCTGCCGCACGTCGACAGCTGCGTGCTGCCGGGCCTGGGCGGGTTCGGCCGGCACCAGAGGCAGCTGGTGGTCCTGACCTGGATCCCGGCCCTCTTCATCGGCTGCAGCCAGTTCTCGGACCACTTCCTGCTGGCTCAGCCCAACGGCACGTGCGTGCGGCCCCTGCGCAACGACAGCGGCAACTGGACCGGGCCGAACCTGCAGGAGCCCGCGCTGACACTCAAAGGCAACGGCACCGGGGAGGGGCTCGAGGAGGAGGACGGCGGCGGAGGGATGCTGTGCGCATGCGCAGAGCGGAGGCTGCAGCTGCAGACGGGACTCACTCAGAATGTGGTTACCAAGGTAACAGGTCTCCAGGATGCTGCTGAGCACATCTTCATCTTCATCATGTCTTCATCTTCATCATGTCGTCATCAGAGTCCATCTGTAGGATGACTCTCAGCTACTACCACCCCAGACTTCAGTTCTAACTCCTCTAAATATCACAGGTTTCGTGTTTTGCTGGTGGCGGCCATCTTGAATTSGGTTTTAAACTCCTCCAGTGGTTCCGGAGATATTTTGCTAACAGACTCTGACGTGTGTTTTTCTGTTTCAGTGGAACCTGGTGTGCGACTCGGCCTGGAAGGTTCACATCGCCAAGTTCTCGCTGCTGGTGGGCTCCATCTTCGGCTACTTGGTGATGGGTGTCATGGCCGACTGGTGCGTTAATTGTTATTCGTTAATGCTGAGTCAGCGTTTACACTGTTGTTTACGTGTTTATTTTTCCTTCACTTAAAAAAAAACTTCCTGCAGACTTACGTGTAAAAACATTTGGCTCTTTAAGGAGATGGAAGCTGAACTTTTTTTACTTTTCAAAATTAACGTTTTCCTTTAAATCGATTTCTGTCCAATTTTTGCAACTTTACGCTTTCAGCTAGCCTTATGCTACACTTAGCCATCAGCTAGTATTTTGCTTCTTCTAGCTTTTGGGCACAATTTACCTACTTTGGCTCCTTTTAACTAGCCTTTTGCCTTTTTTTTAGGTTCCTTTTTGCCCTTTAAAGATAATCTTTGACTAAATTTAGCTAGCCTTTTGCTGTTTTCAGATACTCCTTTACTGTTTTTAGATGACCTTTTGCAATCTTTACATCTTTAGGCACCCTTTTCCTTCTTTTGCTGCTTTAAGCTAGCTTTTTGCTACATTTAGCCAGTGTTTTGGTCCTGTTCGATTTCAGTATTTTGCTTAGCTTTTAGCATTCCGCTTATTTTTGCGTTTAGCATTCTGCTTATTTTAGCATTTAGCATTGTTCTTCCTTTAGCTTTTAGCATTCTGCTTCTTTTAGCTTTTAGCATAGCATTCTGCTTATTTTAGCTTTTAGCATTCTACTTCTTTTAGCTTTTAGCATTCTTCTTCCTTTAGCTTATACTTCAGGGAAACCCACGACTCAAACTGACCTTCAGACGTKCACCGTGGGAAGAAGTCGCTGCTCTGTGTTCACACTGCATAACCCTGACCTGACCTTTGACCTCTGGCCCTGCCGTGAAACCAGGAAGTCTATCAAGCTTGGAGGAAACTAGAGGAACTACATTTATGAATACAGAGTCTTGAACAACAGCTAAAATTTGCTGAAAAAGTTAAAATTCAATTTTGAAAGTCAAAGCGATCAGAACAAAAGCTAAAACCAAAAAATCTGTAGCTAAACCTAAGGTCAGTAAAATATTAGTGGAAAGCTAAAATGAGCTAAACAATAGATAAACAGTAGATCAGCAAAAGCTTCAGCTAAGAGTAGCTAAAACCTATAACTAAAACTAAAAAAACAATAGCTAAATGTTACAATCAGCAGAATCAACAGAAAGCTTAGGCTAGTCTTTTGCCGGCCTAAACTAATGAAACAAGCTAAGACTAGCAAAGCAATGGCTAAAAGTGCAAGTCAACAAAACAGTTGCTTAAAGCTAAAACCAWCAAAAGTCACTTAAACCCAGGAACCAGTACATAAATCAAAGATTAAAAACAGTAACGAAAAGTGCAAATTAACCGAAAGCTAAGGATAGCAAACAGCTAAAACCATCAAAACAGAAGTAAAGAGCAGCAAAAATAAGCAAAACAGTAGCTGAAAGCTAAAAGCAGCAAAACTAAGTGTTCTTTTATTTTAATGAAATGAATTTACAAAAACAATTAGCAAAATCCATGGCTCTAACACACTTAACAAGCCAAATGTTTTGATGTCTGAATAGCTAAAAGTGAGCTGTACTATTAGTATTTAGTCGAAACAACACACAGGTAATAACAGGAACCGCTGACTCAGCACATCTGAACAACTGACCTGTCGTCTCTCAGGTTTTAATGACTCCCTCTGTCTCCCAGGTTTGGCCGACACCCGGTGCTGATCCTCTCGGTGCTCTTCATGCTGGTCTTCGGTCTGAGCGTGGCCTTCTCGGCGAACGTCACCGTGTTCAGCACCTTGCGTTTCTTTGAGGGTTTCTGCTTGGCGGGCCTCGCTCTTTCCCTCTACGTGCTCAGTGAGTAACGGCTTTCGCCTCCTCTGGGGTGGGTTTAACGCCGTTATATCACAGAAACTGGTGTCCAAGTTGGCATGGGCATCAACAAAACCTCACTTTAAAAGAGGTGTACCTCAGAGCTGTGTGCTCGGCCCACTGCTGTAAACACTGAACCTCGTGGTGAATCTCGCAGCAGTGCTTGAACAAGTCGGAGAATTGGACACGGTGGTGTGAGGACAACAAATTCATCTGAACATCAAGTCCAATTAGATGGTTGCAGATTTATGCAGCACCAGTGGAGGGCACAGCTAACCTAACAGCTAGCTTCATTAACCACTAACCCGCTAAACAAGAATCTTAGCTCCGCTAACGCTAACCGCTAAGATGACTGTCAGTCTTCAGAGGATGAAGACTGGTGGGACTGACACAGACCTGTTAGTTTTCTATTGGTTCAAATTGAAGGTGGAGATCATCTGTGGCAAATCCGCCAATCCAAACCACCGATACTACCAGTTTGCCCCTTTCAGAATAAAAGCATTTCTTTTGAGTTTTTATCTTTATAAATACTGTTTGAAGTTAGTCAAACAAATTGTTTTTTTTATTTGAACATTGTTAAATGTTTTTTTAATGCTCTTAGTTTGAAATTTAGCTGCTAAAGGTGCTACATGCAGTGCCTGACACGTCGTCCAGTAGCGCTTGTAAGACGGGATTGTTTTAATTTAATTTTGGATAAATGACATAATAGAAACTGTAAACTTGCTTTTTTTTTGTTGGACTTAAAATTAACGGGACTTAATTTAGTGGATGCTAATCAGTTCGCTAATGGTTTACAAAGTTAGCAAAAAAGCTAATTAGCTACATAAGAAGCTAGTTCTGCTATTGGAGAAGGTTCCTTCTCGAACTGTTTGATTTTCAGATGATGTTTTTTTCGCATTAATTTATACTTGTTGATCCGTCGATTTAAATGACTCTGAACAAAAAATGTTTATTTCCTTTTTTAAAATTATTTCCTTTTAATTTGCGGAACAGATGCTGCTCTGAGCGTTCAAACTGATGTTTTCTGTTTTCCCCCTCAGACTGTCCTCTCTGCCCTCTGCTGTCCCCTCCGCCCCCCCGCCTCCCTCTGAGCCTCCCCCCTCTTCAGTCAGGCATTGTGTGTGAAGCTCAGACTYGAGCTCGGCCCGTGGGGTGTTTTCTTCTCTGCCGGGGTCCCCAGATAAATCTTAAATGAAGCCTTCTAACAAACAAAACGTCCCCCTCCCCCTCCCCCAGCAGCTGTGAGCCCAGAATCTCCTGAGAGTTCAAATTTAAGGCAAACGAAGCACAAACAGTGGAGGGTT